CCACCCTCCCTACGCGCCTTCTCCCGGCCAAACCGTCAAGCCCGAGGCGGATAGAGACCACGCGAGCGACCAGTTGTAGCCCGGGCGGAGTGCCGCACCCTCGGACAGGCGTGTGCGCCCTCAGCGGCCACGGCACTCCTGAGACTGTCCGGGCGCCGGGCCTGCGAGGTGGCCCGGCCTCCCCGCATCGACTGTAGTTGTCCCGTCCCGAGGGGCCGCTGCCCTGTGTCCTTTGCGTCCTCGTTAAAGCAGAAGTTAGTAGTTAATTCTATCATGAATGTTCCGTCTGTGTACAGTCCAGAGTGTTACAGAGGATCTGTTTGCTTAGCTGTCGGCCGGCGGGAACCGGGGGCTCCGTCCAGCCGGCTTCACAGCGGTTCCCTCTGTGTGTGGAGCGCGCCCCGAGCAGGCAGTTGGCAAACTTCTCAGGACAATGACTCCTTCCCTCTTTCTTTTCATGCCACACAGTGCATTGTTTTTTCTACCTGCTTGTCTTATTTTTAGAATAATTTAGAAAAACGAAACAAAGGCTGTTTTTCCTAATTTTGGCATGAACCCCCTTGTTCCAAACGAAGGCGGCCTCGTGAGGCGGCTGGAGAGGAGAGCGCGGGGCCGTGGCGTCTGTCCCCGAGCCGCGAGGGCGCAGCGCCCGGCCCACGGGTGCCGTCCTGCTGATGTGGTAGCTAGCAATATTTTGGTTAAAATCATGTTTGTGACTGTAACCATTTGTATGAATTATTTTAAAGAAATAAAAATCCCAGAAAGAGCTGGCACGCCCGGTGTCTGTTTTAGTGGCTCTGTCCCCCGGGGACTCTGGTGGGTCTCAGTCCTGGCTCTGGTGGCCTTGGGAGGCTGGAGTGGGGAGACCCAGGGACAGTGACCAAGGATCCTGGCCAGAAGCTGCGTGCTGGCAGGGGCAGGTGGTGTGGGTCTGGGTGAGGACGCCCCCTGCCCAGTGCTCCCCCTCTGGCCAGCCCGGCACCTGGGAAGGCAGAAGCCTGGGCCCTGCGGGTGATGGCCGGGCGGGCTGCAGACTCCGGCCCCACGGCTTAAGGCACCTGCCCCCGCAGCGCAGGTTGACCCTGCTCTCTTCAAACCCCCACCTCCCGGCTCTCGGAGCCCTGCTGGCGGCGCACCGGGATCGCACCTGCGGAGCTGTGCTCGCCTGCAGCCTCCCGGCAGACCAGGGCCCTGGTCCTGGGCCAGGTCCTCCAGCTCTGCTCCCCTTGGGTTCTGTGCTCCTGCGGCTCATCCCTTGGTGGTCACCACCACTGTGAAGAGCACAGCCTCCAGAAACCTGCTTACGGGAAACTTCTGGAGAAAATGCCCCGATGTTGCCACATCCTGCCTGGGTGTGGGGCCGGGCACGGTTCCAGGCGTGGAGCTGTTCTCCGACTTCATGCGGCGTCGGTCCCGTTGCCGCCTCCCCGGCCGCCCTCCTTCAGGCTCGGGTCCGCCTGCGGTTCTGCCTTTCTCTGTGCTTCCAGAACTCCGTCCACTTCATGTCTTTACTTAATCCTGGAAAGTCTCGGCTGTTCTGACTTCAGTTGTCTCCGCTCACTCTCCCTCCAGAATCCGCATGACAGTGAAAGTACAGCACATGGAGACTGGACGATGGTAGGCTGCAGGCTTAAGTGCCAAGTTTAGAAAAGAATGAAGGCTTGACATTAGGCTAAATCTATATGTATCTTAAGCAACTAGAAAAACGGTAAATTTTAAATCACAGATGGAGGTAAATGATAAATGTACGAGTGGAACTAGTCAAATGGAACAAACACAGTAGAGTATTAAGTTCAACAGTTGGTTCTTTAAAAGTTAATAAAATTGATAAAAGTCAGATAAATGAAAGTAAGACAGAGAGGTTGTTACAGCTCCCAAGGTCACTGACGTGACAGAGAACGGGATGAACCACCGTCTCATGAGAATTCAGAAGAAATGAAAGAAACCACACGTGGTAAAACAGATACAAAGTAATAGGTCTGAATTGCTCTGTAACTTTGAGAAACTGAACTTAAAAAAAACTCCTCAAAGAGAATTACAGTTGGCTTCAATGGTTACGATCCTCACGGACACTGAAAGAAAGAGACTAATTTCCCGCAGACTCCAGAGGGCAGAAAGCACACAGGTTCCAGTCATCTTATGAGACTACATCAACTCTGATTCTTACGAGATTACATCACCTCTGATACATCAATTCTGAAAGAAAAAAGACGATACAGAATCATCGCGGAGCGTGTGCACCCATGGGGGTGGCCCCTGCAGCAAGTGCACGTGCAGCGGGGTTGGCGGCTGCGTGCAGACCAGGCACCCGGGTCCGCCCTCAGGACCAAGGCCTTCATTCCTCAGCCACCGGGGAGGTGGCTGGCATGGCTCCCGGCTGGGCCCACACTGGGTGAAACTGGCACCAGAGCTGCCGCTGTGACTCCACTGAGGACAGTTGTGAAGGTCGTCCGCCCAGGCTCTGGGTGCCCGTGGACACCCCCCGCCACCACTCGGTGCCTCCGTGGTGAGGCAGCCGCGTGTGGACACTGGCCCTGGAGTCTGTTCCCTGGGGTCCAGTTGTCACCCGGTTCCCAGCACCCCCACCCTGCTTACCCCAACAGAAATGCAGACGTGCAGGGAGTGAGTGTCATTGGGGGTCTTGACAGCCACTTCATCATAACGACCCAAACAGGGACTTCCCTGTCCATCAGCGCTGGACTGGACTAGTCCGTTTTCACAGACACGGGGCCCCGCACGACAGGGCGGGAGGGAAGGAGCCGGGCCCGGGATGTGTGCAGAGCCTGCGCGGGGGCAGCCGCTCTGTGGCGGTCGTGGGTGGAGGGGTCCAGTGATGGCTGGAGAGGCTTTATTTCCCGGGGCCCTGGCTCCACGCTGTCCGGCTGGCCCCCACAAGTCCCCACAGTCGCCAGCGGAGGCTTCCTGCAGTGTGCTCCCACCACCATGGCCTCAGGGGAGCTGCTCCTGGCCGGGATGCTGTTGTCACCTGTCCCCTAGATTTCAGGGTGCTGGTTTGCCTCATGGCCTCGGTTCTGGGACAGGCCGAGGAGAAGCTGTTGAATCTTCCTTGTTGCCAGGACAGGAGTGATTTGGGCTCCTTACAAGTCAGAGCTGGAACCACGCTTTAACTTGAGCCGTTTCTGCTCTCATGTCCTTTGCAGAAGCCTGAGCTTCAGGAGAGCGCACTTTGTTTTGTGCTCTGCTGAGTGCCGGGTGTGGGGATGCTGTTTGTCTGGTGAGGACCTGAATGGTGCAGTGAACCTGGGCCGTTTCCCCAGACGGGAGGCACACGTTGGCCCTGGGACCTCCCTGTGTTGGTAGCCATATTTTCTGACCCCATAACTCCTTCTTCATGGGTTTTCACCCTCATTTTGCTGAAGCACATCCTGCAGTAGCTTCCTGAGAATGGGCTTGGGGAGCCGACTTATAAAATCTCATGTGTCTGAAACAACCCTCCTCTCAGCTGCACCCTGACTGACGCTGAGGCTGGGGCATGAGGCAGTGAGCAGGGCCCCAGGGGCCCCAGGACCCCCTCCCCAGGCTCCCCTTCCAGCTGGATGGAACCTCTGTGGAACTGCTTTTCCTTTAGAGTCTCCTGTCCCCAGAGGGGCCTGAGCGCAGCACCCTGGGATGGGGGTTGGGAAGGCTCGCTGGGGCTCCTTGGGCAAACAGGCATGGCCACTCTGCAAGCAGGTGGGACAGAGTCCCAGACCCCAGCACAACCGCTGGGGTGAGGCTCAGGACTGGTGCCCACTGCAGACCACCTCGCAAGGGTGACAGCTAGGATGGCACTGCCCCCCTGGGTGCGGGGCTCGCCCTGGGGAGCCCCCTCCCTGGCCTTCTCCTGCTCTGACCAGTGGCCAGTTCCGGGCCTCACGGCCCCTCCCCGGCACTCGCTCTGAGGCCCCTGACCCCCCCACCATCTTTAAAGAGTAACTCTCCTGTCTCCTTTATGCTAGCCCCATGCCTCCTGATCCGGTATCTGGTTTTGGGGGGCTGCTGGACAGCACCCCATCGGAATGCCCTGCACGCCTGGCTTCTGTCCCCCAGCTCCTGCAGAAGTCATTGGCAGGTGTGGCCAGTGGCCTGTGGTCTCAAGGCTGACTCCACAGATGGCCTCTGTGACATGTCACTGCCTCATGGAGCAGCCCACATTGGCTCCAGATCCCAAGCCAGGATCCCAAGGCTCCCGAGCCCCGCACCTGGTCCTCTGGATCCCCCACAGGCCCCCACCCTGGGCAGGAGCCCCTCATCCCCCACCCCCAGCAACCAGAGAAGCCTCTGTCCTGCCCTGCCTGGCCCCCCAGCAGCCAAGAGACCTGGCGAGCCCGGAGGTGGTGGACCTCAGTGGGGAGGGGTGGGTTCTGGCTGCATTTGGCAAAAACAACTGTTGGCTTTGCTGGTACCAGGGTCCGGGTGCTGCAGGAGGGGGCAGTGGAGGCGACTCCAAGGGTCTTGGGCGCAGGCTGGAAGGAGGTGGGGGCTGCAGAAGAGGGCGGTGGAACCCCATTCTGACAGGGGAGGCCGGAGCCCCGCTCAGCACCCAGGGCAGCACCTCCACACAGCACCCCTCACTGCCCGGGACCCTGGGCAAGTCCTGCCCTCGCAGCTGGCATGTCCCTCTGGGAAGCCAAGGTCACAGAGTTTAGACCGGGGGCACAGCCATGGCTATAAGGAGGAGCTTGAGGTGAGCGGTCTGGACATTGGGAGGGAGGAGACCAACCTGCTGACAGCTGCCGACAGCCATTGGTACAGAAAACCCAGTCGCAAACCACGAGATCAAGCTTCCCACCCACAGCGCTGCAGGCAGCCCGAGGCCCACGGAGAGCAGGGCAAGGAATGGTCCTCAGACAGGCGCACGGGCAGGTCCACCGTCTTCATGAATTTTCTCAAGACACCGACTGCGACCTGCACTGACTCCAGAGTGAACCTCAGGGGTGGACACTCGGCCCTCCGGACCAGCATGCTGGTGTCCGGCGAGGAGTGGGTTAACTCTGCAGATTAACACGGAGGTTCACTGCACCCCAGTCAGGATTCCAATGGTTCATGGTCAGCAAACTCTTATCTCCACATGTATGTGGAATAACAAGGGTCTGTGGATTCAGGATTATGAAACTTTAAGGCACATTAAAAAGCAGGTGCGATGACAGAGACAGATGGGGCCTGCAGTCGAGAAGCTGGTCTGGCGCCTGCGCGTAAGCCTGCACCAGTCCCGGGAGAGGGCCGCCCCTTTTGGAGGGCCACTCCTCCCAGTGGGCGGGGGTGTGGGCTTCTTACACGTCAGAGCTGCGAAAGCACAAGCCGTCCCGCGCAGATTGGCGCGGCCCCATGGCCGGCTCCATCCGAGGAAGGTCCGGGGTGATGGAGGGGCAGGGCACCTCCCACCGGTGGTCCAGAACAAAGAGGATCCCTGGCGCAGGAGTCCAGGGCCGAGGTCGGACTGTGACCCGCTGCAGGCCCGGATGTCCAGCCACCCCACTTCCATCAAGGCTGCCCTGTCTTTGGTCCTTTGAGGACCCCAACGGTGGCTGCCCTCAGCCCTCTGCCCACTATCAGGAGACTCAGGGCCATGGGGATGGTTTTGCTCTGCCTCCTCCTCTTTGGGCCCAGAAGAGGCTCAGAGGAGGCGGGAAGAAGCATCACGTCTGCATCTGCCAGAGCACCGGCCACACCACCCCCAGTTGCTCTGGGCCAGGGCCCAGCTGGATTTGCAAAACTGATTTTCCAGTAAAAGCAGCATCGGGGAGAAGCATTGAGAAGGGGCAGCTGCGTGGCCCCTCCGGTCAGCCTGCCCCAAGCAGCCGGGCTCCCCTTCTAAAGGAAAACATCTGGTCCTCTGGGCCGCCGCCCAGCACCCGGCGGAGGACCTCAGGCCCCCGTGACCAGCTCCACTCCCGGGCCGCCCTGCAGGCCTCTCCCCTGGTGCACAGCATGGGGCCCTGGCCACCTACCTCGCCCGGCAGCCCTGGCAGGGACGCGTCAGCACGGCCAGTGTTCCTCCTAGTCCCCGTCCCTGGCCCTCCATTCTCGGGCCCAAAGCACCGAGGCCCAGGTGCAAGTCCACCTCTGCTCCTAGTCTTTCCCCAGACCCGCCGGCTGCCCCCACAGTCCATCTCCAACAGTGGCCAGAGGGGATTAAAAGACGACTCTGGCTGCATCACTCGACAGCTGGGAAGCATCTCTAGAGGAGCAGAAAGACGGGGTGCGGGTGCGGGGCCCCGCCCACAGCTGCTGGAGCTTCCAGGGCCCCTCTCCCCAGAGCACTGAAGCCACCCTGCCTCTTCCCTTCCGCAGGGGCTGTGGACTCTGCTCTTTTTTTTAACTCATCAATGCCCCTGGTGACGTCTGTGTGGGGCTCCAGGGGAGACAAGTCACTGTTAATTCCCCTGGCCCCTCCTCAGCCCTTCCCACCTCCTGCTGTCGCAAACACTGCAGCCTGTGCCTTGTCCTTGGGGCATTGTCCTGGGGGAACAGTCTTGCAGAGTGGATTCCCAGGTGTGGAACAGCTAATCCAAGACACACAGCCATGTAATCTGGGGAGGCATTCCCCAGCTGGCCATTATACACCCCCGAGAGCCACCCAGACCCTGGGAGTCACCAGACTTCACAATTCTTGCCGCCGCAGCAGTGAGAGACCGTACCTCTGGCTCGCTGTGTGTGTGTGTGTGTGTGTGTGTGTGTGTGTGTGTGCGTGTGTGTGTGTGTGTGTGTGTGCGTGCGTGTGTGTGTCTGGCACCAGAGAGGCTGCAGACCGGCCAGGTCTCCGCGTCCTAGGGTCGTCTTTGCTTACTTTCTAGTTGGGAAACTGTGGCTGCTCCTTCTTCCCGACTTGCAGGACTCTTTGCAGATGAAGGGACTGGACTTTCATCCGGTTTCCTCACTGGCTGTGTTTGTTCACGTACATGTTTACCAACTTTCCACTGGAGGGTTGGCCCCAGGACCTTGGCCTTAATTCCCGGAGCAGGACGTCCTCTTCACCCGGGAGCCTGCCCCCAGGTTCCCCAGCCCCCATGCACACTGCCTCCGGGAGCCTGTCCCACCCAGACCCGGAGCCCAGGCTCAGATGAGACTCTCCTTGCCCCGTGCCCATGAGCACTTGCAGTCTGCCCGGGATGGAGGCTGGGGCAGGCCCAGATGGAGAGGCTGGTGTGCCCCCCGGTCCCCCGGCAGCCCCGGCAGGCTCCCTGCCCGCTGTCATGGACCAGGGCCTTCGGCGCAGGGCAGCTGCGTCCAGAAACTGAGATTTGCCTTGGAGGAAACAGCAGGGTCGGGGGCTGGCTTGGCGCCTGGAGCCCGGAGCCCCTCCGCCCTGGAGGTGGGGGCGGATAGACCTATTCCTTTCTGCCCTTGAGGGTGAAATGCATTGTCCTCTGGAAACTTTGAGTCTCCCGGGACCCAGGCAGCTTCCCTCACTGGCCTTGTACCTCCTGCTCGGCCCTAGGCAGCCCCGTAACCCCACAACAGCCCCATCACTCTTGAGCAGCCCTGCCCCCACCCCATGGCCCTGCCCCAGGAAGGGGCCCCTCCCAGCTCCTCCTCCTGCGGGCCTCCTGCCAGGGCAGCGCAGAGCTGGGTCCAGACCGGAGTTAGTCCTGCCCCTCCCACCCAGGCACAGGGAGGAGGGGAGCTGGGCAGGCGGGGGCAGGCAGAGGAGGTCCCCATGGTGGGGCTAGGCCTGGCTCTTAGGGAAGCCAGGCTGAGGAGAGAAAGTCCATCTCCATTCTGCTCTGGGGATTTGGAGATCCTGCATCCACCCCCGACACCGTGAGTCTCCAGGCTTCCAGCCTCAGTGTCCCCATCTGAGCAGTGGGTGGTCACTGCCCCCAAGGGCCATTGCTGTCTGTCCAGCACACCATTCCCTGCAGCTGCCCTGGGGGCCTGTGACCAGGTGGGGGTAGGCCAGGGGCTGTGGCCCACACTCAGGGCTGGGGGCCAGCTTTCCAATAAAAGCAGTGAGTGTTTTAGCAAATGGAAGATCCTGGAAGTTGCTGAGGGAAAAGCAGTCCTTGTGCCCAGCAGGTCTGGCTGTGTGACCAGCAGGGAGGGGCAGCTGCCCGGGCTCCCTGCACTCCCGGGAGAGGTGGGCATTGGCTGAGCACTTGCGGGGAGGTTCTCAGACGGCCCTGGAGGGGCCAGAGGGGGCCAGGCCCCTGCCACAGAGGCCACGGTCTGGGCACTGGCCTTCTTGGGGATGGAATTCCCACAGCCAGAGGGGCAGAGGCAGGGCCTGGTGCTAGGGGTGTCACGTCGGGGCCTGGGCGGTGGGCAGCCGGGCCACTTATCGGGGAGGCATCCAGGTGACCCCAACCTCCCATGGCCACTGTCCCAGCAGGTAAACACATCAGGAGGCCTGGCCAGGCAGGGTGAGCCCAGCAGGTGTGGATGGGGCCCTGGGATGGTGGGTACTGGGCTGCTGTTTGTGACCCTAAAGCCTGATGCCCATCCAGGGCCCCCAAGGGCCAGGCCCACTCCCCACGGCGCAGCTCTCAGGAGAACATGGACTGAGAAGCGGGATCAGCAGTGTTGCCTCGGGGGCTGCTGGGAAGAGGCCCCAGCTTGGAGGCCCCCCAGGGTGATGCCAACTCAGGCACCTTCAGAGCCACGCCCTGGCACCTAGGTGCCCCAGTCCTCCACTGAGTCCTGTCCACGTGCCCCCGAACCACGCCTGAGCTCAGCTGGGCCACACTGGGAACGGTGGCGAGGGCCCGGTGGGGTCTCCCACCTCAGCCAGAGATGGGCCTTGCCTCCCTGCCAGGAGCCCCAGAAGTAACCCAGAACATAGACCCCACTGTGACTGGCTGTGAGCCCATGAATGGCCAGAACAGTCAGAAGACACAGGTGAATTCAGGAGGGCAGTTGTGCACAACATTTATGTCCAGAACTTGGCATTTTTCAAATTCAAGCAGCTTCCAATGAAAAGATGCTGAGGAGAATGCATGACTGACAACAGCAATAAAGATCGTACGTTGTCTAAGCAGGAACTTTGCTCACCAGATCCACAGGGAAAACCCCGAAAGGTGGCCAGTGGCCACGTGGCACCTTGGAAGGGCACGTTCTGCCCAAGGGGGAGGCCAGCACCAGGGGCGTCATTTCATCCTGAGTTCATTTAAATGTGGTGCTAGCCAATTAAAGCACCAAGAATTTCTCTATAAGGTGAGTTGGATAGAAGATCAATGTTGCAAAATCATGTAAGAAGAGCCAAGAAAAGTCTATAGGGAAGGAGCCGTGAGGACCCTGCCTCTCCCGGGTGTCAGCAGGCTCTCCCACGCCCAGGGGAGCGGGGCCTCGGCGCAGGGGACGGAGGCGCGCAAGAGGCAGCAGCTCCACCAGGGCGGGCGGGTAGGGCTAACAGCGCCAGGCCACCCCCTCGGGTTTTTACCCCAAGGACCTGTGGCAAAGACGGTCGATGCCCCTCAAATATACCAGGGGCCCCCAGCAAGGGGGTGGAGGTTCACGTGACTGTTTCTGGCCAAGGGCAGAGGCGATGTTTGTCATCACCCGGGAGGCACTTAAAAACCGAGCGCTATGACCTAGAAGCCAACAGTCAAAAGAAACAGCTGAAAGAGAGAACGGGCGAGCAAAGACTCGCGTGCACGGTTTCCTAGTAATTCATACAGACGGCCGGCGGGCACACGCCTAACCCCAACACTCACGGGGCAGCAGGGAAGCAAATCCAGGTGAGACCGGGCTTCACACCCACCTGGACAGCCGCAAGCAGCTGCTAACAAGAGCTGGCAGGGCGCTGCGGGGGCCGAGGTCCGCATGCCCAAATGTGAGACAGTCACCACGCGGCCAGCAGTCCCACTCCTCAGCGTAAACCCGGGGTCCGGAACTGTCCACACAAAAATCCACGCACAGGTGCTCACGGCAGCGTTCACAGTAGCCGAAACGCGGAGCCAGCCCGACGTCATCGACAGACGAACCCAGCGTGGTCCAGCCGCCCCAGAACACTGGTCAGCCCTGAAAAGGAGGCCTGTCCTGGCTCCTGCATGGATTTGGATGAAACCTGAAAACACTGCGTGCCGCGGAAGACGCCGTGCGGATTTCTTCTGGGAGTGATGGAAATGTTCCGGAACCAGAGAGAGGTGACTATCGTAGGAACTTGCAAGTAAACTACAAGCCACCCGATCGCACACTTTCAAAGGGAGAATTCAGGTCGTGTGCGTTACATCTCAGTAAAGCCCCTGCTTTGAGAAGCGCCAGTGTCCTCCGTCCATCTGTCCCTGGGGCCCACGCCAAGGTGGCAGCACCAGCAAGGTGGAGGCTGTGCTGGGTCCCCAGCGTGGCGGCCCGCCCCGCAGACTGCCCGCCGGGGAGGGCGCTTCTCCGGGAGGCTGTGCCAACCCTCTGCCCTTCTTCCCATGGTGGAGCCTCCCACGTGGCTTTGTGGGGCCGGCCCTGCGCTCCTTGGATGGTGGACGTAGGCCTGGCTCCCTGGAGGACCCCACACCCCTGTCCAGGGGAAACACCCAGGCAGGAAGGGTCCTCCTCACACTGCAGGCCGGAAGGAACGCCAGTGGGGTGGAGGGTAACCCCCTACTCACAGAGCAGGCGTCAGCCCAGGGAGGAGGGGGAGGGGAGGAGGGCTCCGTCCACCCCACCCCACCTTGCTGCTCCCCTCAGCCCCTCCTGTTCTCCCCCCCCACTCCCCTCCCCCTCCTCCATGCTCCCCGCCACACCTGCTCTGCTGGTGTCCCCTCTCTGTCCTCCCCACAAGGCTGCCCTTTGGAGCCGGTCTCAGGCAGGGGCAGTGATGGACGGGGAACCCACACCTGGCCTGCAGCTGCGGCCTCGGGCTTTCCTGATGAAAGACAAGGGGCAGCCGGTGCCAGGCGGGCCGCGCCGCCCTGATGGGGAACAGCTGCTAGCCTCGGGGCTGCCAGCAGGAACCACATTCCCTGAGCAGTTAGCTCATAGTTTACACATTCTCCGCAGACTGACGCTATGTCACGGGGAGCTAGACAGATCCTGGGTGCCAAGCCAATACCCGCCCAGAACCTCTCCTTCAGGACCTGGGCCCCAGGCTGCTCGTTCTGAGGCCAGACCTCCTCCTGGGGCCACGGCCCCTCGCCCGGGGGCAGGCCCCTGCGCTCATCGCCGTGGCCCCCCCAGCTGCTGGAGGTGATCTGCTCCATCACCAAGATGTTGTTTATTTGTGACGTAATCAAGCCGCCGTTTTCCCCATCAACTGTAAACCTGGCTCTGTCAGTCAAGAACTTCTCACACATTCCAGAAGCCGACTCCAGCTCTCTTCTGGGCATCAGATGACTTACTCGCCGGGTCAACAGCACACGGATGGGATGTCCGTGGTTCCAAGTTGTGCAAACACCACCACCAAGGTGAGCTGGCATTTCATGCTTCTCACGTTGCACGTTAACTCTCTCACCCTACAGCCCCCACTAGGCAGGTGTGGGACCCAAGGCCGATGCTAAGTCACCACCCAGGGCCACATGGCTGGCGACAGGCAGGGCCAGGATCTGGACTGGGGGCCCTGCCCCTTGGCTCCTGCCCTTCACATGCACCTCATGTGCCTCCACAGTGACTGTTGCAGGAAGCGTGTGCACCTGCTGTGTCGGGGTCTAAGCCCTCCCAGAGCTGAGTCCTTCCACCTGCTCAGGCCTTTGCTCTGCAGAATGTGTGGCTCTGCCTGTGGAGCCTCTGTCACTGTGAGGAGACCACTGCTTACCACGCCCAGCCCCGCCTGGGACGCTGAGCTCCCACCACGCACATGGCGGGGCTGCGCTCAGCCCCCTGCAGCCAAGTGAGGCCTGGCCATGCGGTGACCACAAGAACCAGACAGGGCGACGTGGGCCACTTCCTGGAGCCGCTGTCTCCCACCCTTCGCCTCCTGCGGGCCGGACTCTGCAGCCCAGGCCGCAGCCCCCGGCTGGGGTGGGTGTGGAAGGAGCTGGGTCTGGGTGTGGGGCCGTGGAGCGGCCAGCAGGCAGGAGCGCTGTGAATGTCTTTGGCCTTCCTGTCACCCCACGGTGGGGGCTGCTCGACACCGCACCGTCGCCTCTGCTGTGAACCGAACCTCCCCATCCCCGTTGGTAGGTGACTGTCACTTCAGGAGTCGCCCGTTCTCGCGTATTTGTCTGGGATCATTTTTCTTACCCATTTTTAATTTTTAGAACTAGGATGCGGGGCAGTCTGTAGATTTACAACCTCTCCACACTCATAGTTTTACTATTTCTAAAGTTGCTGTCACTCATCTGATTTTCTTATCTTACTGCATTTGCTAGAACCTCCAAGAAAACCTTCAATGACCACAAAGGGGATGATCACTGGTCGCTCCTGCGTTTTTGAGACAGTTTTGAGCTTCCCGCGTAGCAGCGGTCTCAGCCTCCGCTGTGGGCAGCCTTTACTTTCTTCTTCTAGTTTAGTGTTATTAGTAACAGCGGTTGCCGAGTTTTGTCTCCTTTCTTTCCAGGGTTTATCGATTTGGTTTGACGGGTGTGCTACTTTGTCCCCGCAGTTGCTTGGGTGACTCGTTGGGCCGCGGGGAGCCTGGCCTTGGCCGGTCATGATGCGCAGTCTTGCAGGCGTCCTGGCTTCTGTTTGCTAGCCCCTTGTTTGGGTTTTTTCTCATCTTCGCTTGTAAGTGATATTTTCCTATAGTTTTCTTTTTTTGCACTACATTGAGTTTTGTGTCAGATTCCACTGGTTTCTTGAGGTGAAGTACATTTTTCCACCTTTTTATGTGTCTTGGAAAAGTTAAAATAACCCTGGACTAACTTTCCTTGTAACTTCGGCTGAGCTCATACTCAGCTGTGAACATGTTTCCCCGTCGGTGCACCGTGAGCCGTCTTGCTGGGTCCCTGTGTCTGCGCACTCGTGTTCCATGTTAGGTCACTGCGGTAATGGGCATCCCGGGGGCTGCCCGTCTGCTCCGGGCTCTGACGGCCGCCCAGACTTGCGGGTTGTGCTCCTGTGTCTCTCTCCCCGCATCTTCTGTCCCCGGGTGCCCTTTCTCCTTCCTAATTATAGGTGGGTTTCTAAATTTTATACACAAATTCTAACTGAGGCCATCCTTCCTTAATCAGGCTTTGGGGCAAGGCCAAAGGTTTCCATTTTATTTGCTTTTAGGTAAAAAAATGCTTTATCATTTCTCCTTTTCACTTGTTTGTTTTCTACTGAATTTCTGGTTTTATCTTCGTAATTTCCTCTTTCTACTTTTTAAAATGCACCTGATTGCTCTCATTCTAATTCCCTGGGACGGCCGCAGCGTCCTCACTGCGGCCCCTCCCCGCGCGTCTGGGCGCCTGGGCTCCGCTGGGGCGTGTTTACACCGTGGCTTTCCAGAGAGCCTGCATGTTCAGATCTGACTTTCCGCTTTACCTAAGGGCCACCTAGGAAGCGACTTGCTTAGCTCCTCAGTGGTTAAGATTGGGGGTATGTTTGTGATGCTTTTTGCTATTTTTTTGAAATTTTGTTAGATTATAATAAGAGCATCTGGTTAGCCTCCTCTCCTGCTAACTGAGGTGTGGGCGAGCCCACGTCGCTGCCTCGGAAAGCACGACATTTTCTCTCTGAGGAACATGAGATCTGCATCCACACCCACATCTGCTTGTGTTTTTCAGTTGCCACGACACCTAGTTATGAAGAGATGGGGATTCCCGTGTGTGTGTCCATCAGCTCGTGTTTTACACTTCAGTGGCTTTAAGTTTAGCCCTGTGTTTTCGAGCACATGTGTCTACAACTCCCTGCCGTCCGTGCGCTCACCGGGCGCGCATGTTAGTGTGACAGGGAGTACCTGTGCTGGCCTCCTCGCCCGCCCCACTCCCTGCCCGCCCAGCCTCTCTGGACATCACCTTGTGTTCTCTGTTCTGATTTGCAGTCATCGCTGGTCTTTTTCCGGAATTCTCCTTGGATGAGGCGTGTAGGTGACAAACACACGGATTTTTCTGTGCTCACAGTGACTACCCCTGGGCTGGTGTGTCCTGCCTGGGCACGTACCCTCCTTCTGTGACCCAGGGGTGACTTTTCACCATCCTCTGCCTTCAGGGCTGCAGATCAGATCTCCAGGCCTCGTTCATATTTCTCTCTTGAAGTAACGTGTTCCTTCTGTCACTGAGCACGAAACTGCCCCCACCCTGGCTGCACCACCCGCCCATCCGGGGAGGGCATGGCCCAGGAGGAGGAGAAGCTGGGGCCCTGAGAGGCACTGCCCTGAGGGGACGTGCCCAGGGAGTGGAGGGGTCGGACCCGCCCTGGCCTCTCTGGCCCCAGAGAGCACTCCCTCCTGCAGGTGTCCCCAGTGGGGAAGTGGGAGAGGCTGCTTACCCCCGACCCTGGCCAGTCCCGGCAGCAGGCCGCGGCCGGGCTCCCTCTGCGTGTGACTCCATGGCCCGCAGAGAAGAGAAGGCAGAGGCGGGTGGGTGAAGGGTGGTGGATCAGGTGGAGGGAACACCCCCAACTCAGACCACAGCAAAGCTGAGACTGACCACCTTCAACAAGAGGAGTGCAGGGCAGCCCCCCGCCAGGCCCTGTGGGGTCCAGGGGCATCCTCTTCCCTGCTCGGCTCTCCCCAGGGGGGCTGTGCCCCCAGACAGCAATGAGACCCTCCCAGATCTATGGGGAGGACCATTGGCCACGGTCAGGATGTCAGGACGTTAGTGTCCAGTTGTGGCCCCTCCCCCACGGAGGGCAAGACCCCCAGATCGGGGTGGGGCCCAGAGAAGGGAACAGGACAGGTGGCCCCGAGGAGGACCTGAGGAATCTCTGGGCCCAGGTGGCCATTCCCGGTGACCTGAACACAGCCACCAACATGGGAGCACCCCTGACCTGACCCCAAGAAGGACGCCTGCCCCTGTCACCCCAAGGGATTCCTGACTGAACCAGCCTCCTACCAGCAGAGCAGCAGACCTAACGCGGACACTGCCCGACACCTGGTCAGCACCCTCTGAGCCACCTGGGACTCGGGGGTCCTCGAGGCAGCCGGGGGGTCCGGGGAGGTCCTGCACGGAGGGACGCTGGCCGGGCAACTGCTGACGTTCAGCAGTGACAGGTGCCAGCACTGACGGCCTGTCCAGGGCACTCCGAGCCTTGACATTAGAGGAAGCTAGTGGAGGGTTCAGGCAACTCAAGCACGTTTGCAGCTTCTCAGAGTCTAAAATTATCCCAGAAACAAAATTTTTCACAAGAATCTTGACAGTAGAGCTGACATGGAGAGAGACGTTTGTGATTTGCCTGGAGGAGCCCCGTCCCCCCGTCTCCCCTGGTTCCGCCCAGAGGACACCGAGCTCACCAAGTGGTGGATGCCCGAGCCACCTGCTCCCTGTCCCGACACAGGCCCCGGGACCCCGGGGGGCTCTGCAGCCCCCGCCCCTGAATCGGCCAGCCCTCTGAGCCTCAGCCCCCTCACCTGTGTGCGGCTGCTGGCGGCCCTCTGAGCCTCAGCCCCCTCCCCTGTGTGTGGCTGCTGGCGGGGCAGGTGGAGGGCAGGCAGCTAGACTTTCTCCAAGTCCTCAGGAGTGAGGCTCACCTTCTGTGCTTGTAAGACACCCTGCAGGAATGGAGGGGACGCGTCACCAAGTGCACGGGGGGCTCCAAGCCCCCCTCCAGGCTCTACTCTCCATGGTCTGTGGGGGCAGCAGGGGCTCCACTTCAGGGCGCCCTCCCAAATTCAGGCATGTGGCTCCCCACAAGCAGAGTCCTGGAGCTGTGAGGAGGGTCGGGGCTCCCCGGGCAGCTGGGGGGACCCAGGACTCTAGGAGGTGGTGCAGACAGCCTGCAGGGTTGGGGCGCTGGAGAGTGGGCAGCAGAGGCGCCCCTGGGCGGGTCAGGCCTGGTCAGGTGCCCTGGGCGGGGAGAGGCTTGGGAGGGTATGGCAGGCCTGACCCTCAACATGCCAGCCAGGCCCAGTCTGGCCCAGTCTGACCCAGTCTGGCCGAGCAGCAGGAAGGACATGCCTCAGAGATCTCGGGCGTCTGGGGACGGGGATCCCCTGCCTCCTGAGCATGCACTGGGGTGGGGGCCACTGTGGGCTGGGGCCCTGCCAGGCAGCCCAAGTGCGTACTTGTCCTTCAGTTGGCTCTGGCTCCAGGCCATGTTAACAAATGCAACCCACATTTCCGCTCTGCCTGTGCCCAGGCAGAGAGCCCGCCACCACGAGGCTGGAGCCGGACGTCGGGCTGCAGGGCGGTGGGCCAACAGCGCTCGCTCAGAGTTTCCAGGCTGGGAAGCAGGTCCTGAGTGGGAGGGAGGCCTCCCCTGGTCCTCCAGGGTGCTGGCCTCGAGGGGCTAGGGGCAGGAACAGCCTTGCCAGGAGGCAGCTGAGGGACAGGGACAGAGCCTCCCCTCCACTGCTGGAGCCCCTCCCCCTGGGGCTGGTCCAGGAGCTCCCACCAGGGGTCTGCCCCTCAGATGCTGCCCACATCGGCGAGGCTGGAGGGAGGACCCCTGGACCCGGGGCCATGGGGACTGATGGCCCCGAAGACTCGGACTGGGACACTCCCAACATGGCCACCCAGGCGGCTCTGGAAGTCCCGGCCCAGCAGTGCAACACCCCTGCCTCAGGACACCAGATGGAC